AACTCCCCACCTCAGAGCCTGCACCCCAACTCCTCATCCCCACCCCAGAGCCTGCACCCCCAACTCCTCACCCCCAACTCCTCACCCCCAGCCAGAGCCCTCACCTCCCTTTGCACCCTACTCCCCTCCCACACCTTGAACTCCTCATTTCAGGCCCCACCCCAGAGCCCTCACCCCCACCCCAATTTTGTGAGCATTCATGGCCCGCCGTACAATTTCTATTCCCCGATGTGGCCCTCAGGCCAAAACGTTTGCCCACCCCTGGGCTAGAGCCTGTTCCCAGGGCTGCTGTGGCAGCTGCTGCCCCCATTCCCGTGAATCCCTCCTCGGGCTGCCCCTGGTCCCCACCGTGCAGCCACGGAGCACAGGCATTTCACTGAGGTACCATGGGATACCTCTGGTCTCAGCCTTGCCCCCTGTGCCTCCCTACTGCCCCTTACCCCTGCTCTTTGGGGCAGGGACCATCTCTATCTGCTCTGGCCCGTGGCCAGCATACTTTGGGGGGATGCAGAATGAAGGGTAGAGTGGAGACTGCCTGGAGCAGGGACTTGGCCCCTCTGTGCAGCTTTACCTAACCGCCACCCTCACTCACTAATAACACACTTCCATCTGCAGGGAGATGGAGCCCAGAATTCCCCTCTGCTGCCCGCAGGCTGGCGGAGAACTCCAGGCACAGCACTCGATACCAGCTTTTCCTGCACGTACAGAGGGAGAAGGGGCACGCGAGCTGTACAAAGCATGTTCAGTGTGAGAGCAGCTCTCAGGCCGGATTTGTCGGATGGGTCTTGGCACCAAATGCCACTTTAGGGCCGTGCTCCCTTTATCTCCTTGCGCCATAGGGGCCAGTCCCAGCGCCTGTGACAGCCTCTGGCAGGAGGATCTGCACCGATGATGCACTGAGTAGGTCTAGTGCCAGTCAGAGGATCTGGGAGCACGGTGCCATTATCCCAGCTTAAGGTATGTCCCAACCTCCCTCAGCGTAGGCAGCCTCTGTACAGGCCATTCCTGGGTAGGCTGCTCATAAGTTTGGCCTGAACCCCGTCCTGCTGGGGCAGGCAGTGACTGTCCTGAGCCCGTCCCCCAAAGACCTCACACTTCCCAGCAATCAGGGGCACCGCTTGGGCTGCTTCACCTTGGAAGACACTGGTGTCCTGTCACCACAGTCCAGCTCAGGTCTGGTGTTTTACTAATGGTGGCATTGAGCAGTCAGGGGAGAACATGGAACGAGGGCAAAAAGGAGGCACCAACTTTCAGGGAAGTGGGGGCTTCAAGATCAGACCATGGGTACTCTGGAAGACCCCCTAATCAGGGCCTTAAACTCAGCATCATGGCTGAATGCCAGCTCGCCTCATTGCACTTTGCCTGCCCCTGCAGCTTCACTGGGGTTTGGGATTCTTGTTCGCTCTCTGCCCTGACCTATTGTGAAGTGTTGCTGGGTGCTGTTGAACCAGCTGCAGGGTTCCAGCCCAGAGGTGGCTGCCAGGCACTGCTATGGCTGCAAAGCACACTCGACACCTACACACCATGAAAGGAGCTAGAGAAACCGTCCTTTTGATGGTGTCCACTATGGAAGGTTCAGTAGCCCTGGGCACTAGCTGTACCCGCCAGAGTAGCGACCTCCTGGCTTGAGCAGGAGCCTGAAACCACGAAGGATGAGCTCTAACGCAGCTCCCGTTCTTCAGCCGAGCTCTGGCCCCAGCCACGGCAGCCTCTCTGCTCGCCTAGCCACCGTACCTATGGAAAGTGGGAGCCTGATATGATCTTCAATGCGTTTGTGCTCACAACCCCCCCCCCCCCCCGTCGAGGCAGGAAATGCTGTTAGGCAGAGGGACTAAAGGACATGCCTAGGGTCACACTGGGCATCTGTGGCAGAGCAGGGACTATTCCGGGTCTCCCAAATCCCAGGCTAGTGACCTACCACTGGCCATCTGGCCTCTCCTCTTAGCACAACGAAGACAACCCCCTGCGTTCCGTTTCCAAACAAACATTTATTAAATTACAAAGGAGAAGTACCAGGTACTATATTTCTTCTTCTCTTTTTTTTCAAGTTTTTGTGAGTGTTTGTTCCCCCAACTCATTTCTGGAGCAGGACGCAAGATTGTGTGAACAACAGCGCTGAGGGCCCGTGCCCACCCCAGCAGCTATAGGGGCCATGGGGGAGGGGACGACCGAGCCTTCCCATGAAACTTACGAAGCAGCAGCTCTAACCTGAGGTAGCGGGGCTGGAGTCACTCGCTCCCTCAGGGGCCTGACAGCCTCATTTGAAATGGAGAGATCGCTCCGGCCACCCAGTGCCCCGGCTGGGCTGCGACACAGGCTCTGCACAAAGGCCTGCTGCTAAAAGTTCCATTTAACATAGAGTCCCTCCCCACCTGCTGTGGGAAGAGCTGCTCAGCTGGAGATGGTGCACGGCCTGCTGGGAACTGTAGTCCTCACTCCTGCCACCCTTGATCCGCACTAGGGAAGGAGGAACTGTGCTCTGCAGGATTTTCCCCTCAGCCCCAGGGCCTGGCATGCGACAGTTCATGCTTCATCCTGCTGGGGGAGGTGTGTGCAGGTCTTCCCACTCCATCCTTAGGGGTCCTCGTTTAACTCCCCACCACCCTGGGTCGCAGGGAGGGCCGGATTTATACCCCCAAGATCTCAGGCCAGACTCCTGGGCAAGGGAGAGCGCCAAGGTCTCCCCATTTCTCTGGCCACCTCCTCCCCACCCCCACTTCCCTCACATCTGGGGCCAGGACAGGTTCCATAACATTCTCTGCAGGGTTCTTCCAGGCTGGGGAGATATTGCTCCAAGCGACCCTAAATCCCATCCCTGTGACTGCCCCAAACATTGAGCCCTGTGCTCGCCCCCCCGCCCATTCTTTTCTCCCCAAGTTTGCTAGGTCACAGGGCTGGAGCCATTGCCCCCTACCCGTCTCCTCCTGCCATCCAATCCCGCAGTGCAGCCACTTCCAGTCACCTGCCCTGAGCCCCAAGCAAGGCAGGCAGCGGCTCATTCCCAGCCAGGGGAGCTCAGGTGACTCACGGCTGAGGGACATGCAAGAATTCCCCCTGGAGGGCTCAGCCCCTGGGTCTGGAAGGGTCAGCCAGGCTGCGGTGACTCCGGCAGAGCTCACTCAACCCTCCCCAGGCAGGAGAGAGGAGCCCAGGCAGGGACTGACAGAGGGGAAGGACCATCTCCCATGGCGGGAGATGGGGTAATTACAGCCACGTGGGGCCTTGGGAGGCCAGCACTGTCTCTGCTCTCAGGCAGGGAGCTACGGGGTCAGCCCAGCCCCTAGGATCCCCCTCCTGTAACCCATCATACCAGACGTGCGGCCAGCGAGTGACCACGTGCACCCTCTGGCTTCCCCTTCTCACTTGCAAGGCCCCTCTTGGCCTCACTCAGCCCGTGCCCAGCGCCTGGGGGCCAGGAGCTCTCTGCTGCAGCTGGAGGGTTTGGCTTTCCTGCGTCCTCAGAGACAGCCACACCTCCCACCAGCTCCAGCGGGGCAGGGGGATCCATGGGCCAGTATTACCCCAGAACCCCGCCCCAACACAGCCTGGTTAGTGAGGGCCCTGGGCTTCGGACCACTGCCACGCCAATCTGCAGCAGACACGCCGAAACCCGGGGTGCCCCACAGCCCTGCTCTGGGAGGGAGGGGGGAGGAGAGAGCCCCCTCCCCCTCTCACAGGGGCTTGGGCTTCCTTTGAGAAGTCTCCTGTAGCAATAGCCATGACAACAGACACAGCTCAGCCCAGCTCGCATGGACGTTGAACAGCAGGGGTGGCCAGGGCGAGGCCCCAATACAGACCCCTTGCCCCCCAGGGCTGCAGCCAACTACTTCCCTGCTATCCAGGGACACCCCAGGGGCTGGACTTGCCCCCAGGGGGAGGGGGAGCAGGAACAGAGGCTCCCCCAACTGCCTGAACAAGGGCCCAATCCCTGGGGAGACAGGGCCCAGCAGGCCACACGAGGCCTTTCCTCCGGGCCATGCGCAGGGGCGCTTGCCAGCCCTCCGGTTCCCTCAGGTGGAGTTGGGGCTTCTGTAGAGAGCACTAAGGCTAGTGAGGGCAAGAGAAGAGCCCCTCCCCCCCCCAGTTCTGCCAACACCCCTCAGTCTCAGCCCACAGGCCCTGCATGTCCAGCCCTGCCAGTGCCCCTCACTCCTGACCTGCAGCCCCCTGCTAGCCCAGCCCTGGGCTCCCCCCCAGACTCCCAGCTCTGCCAGTGCCTCTCACTCCCTACCTGCAGCCCTGGGCTCCCCACCGCCCTACCAGTGCCCCTCAATCCCAACCCACAGCCCCAGTCCTACCAACCAGTTCTGTTGATACCCCTCAATCCTGACTCAGTCTCCCCTGCTATTCCAGTCCTGCGTGTCTCTTGCTCAGCTCCTGCTGTCGTGCTGGGCTGCCCAGCTGGGCGTGCGACATGCACAGGGCACCACGAGCAGAGCCCGTCAGACTCGCTGCACTTGTGATCAAGGCTGGGTTATGAGCCACACCGTGGACCCTCCATCCTGGCTCCCCACCAACAATAAATACAAATAAATACAGTACCTCCCCCTCTGAGAGCGGACATCTGCTCCATCCCTCCCCACAGCCTGGGAGCCAGCTCCGCTCCGCCCAGTCCGAGCCCCGCCTGCCCCCGAGCCTCCCTTGAAGGGCACGGCTTGGAGCTGTGCTGCCAGAGGCCTAGTGGCGTCTCTGACCCGCTGGGGGCGGCTTGGAGCTGTGCTGCCAGAGGCCATGGGGCGTCTCTGACCCGCTGGGGGCACAGGAGCCAGCGCACCAGCTCCTGCTCACGCCATGCAGCCATCTCCATGATCCCATCCCCTCCCCCCCCGCCGCCTCGTGCTCACTCTGGCACAGGCGCGAAGCTGCTGTCAAGGGAGGGGTGTGTCTGTGCCTCACCACCCCACCTCTGGGGGAGGAGACGGCTCCGCTCTCTTGCCCTTTACTTGTCTACGAAGTGCAGGGGTGAGGGTGGAGAGGGGGGCGTGGGGCTCCCCGCGCTCAGGCCCGGGGTGAGTAGCAGGGGTTCCTTGGCATCTCCGTGAAGGATTTCAGTTCGTAGGGGATCCCCGAGTCGACCTCGATCGACTTGCGGGAGAAGAGCAGCCGGATGTCGTCGTGAAGGTAGATCTTGCCCGACTTGGAGCTGTGAAACCTGAGGGCAAACGAGACTCCCTGAGTTAGAGGCCACGGGCTGCAGCAGGGAGCAGGGTGGAGCAGTCGCTCCTTTGGGGCCCTAGCAGGAAGGAGGAGCTGGCAGCAGGACCAGGGTTGTGGTGTTCCCAGGGGGCTCTGGCTGCAGGAGGGGAGCTCAGCACTGCCACCCTCTCCTCCTGGCTGGCAGCTTCCCCATGACCTTCCGTCCTCCTTCAGAATGGCCACTGCTTCCCGCTGCCCCAGGCCCCAGAGCCAAGAGCTGCCCCAGGCCAGGTCACTGGCAGCCTGGCGGGTGGCAATCAAGATGGCCGCCATCTCCCCTTGTTCCCAGCAGTAATGAAGTCAGGCTGCCGCAAGGGGAACAGCCACCTCTGGGCTCAGAATCCTGGTCCAGGGAAAGGGAGGTGGGAGTGGGGCAGGAGCTCCTGCCCAGAAGAGGGGCCCGCTCCAGGGCGATGGGACCCATGGCCATCCCTCCCCCTCGCCACCTCAGCCCCTACCTCAGGTGCATCAGGTAGCAGAGGACCCTCCTGGGCGGGCTGGCACAGGCTGGGTCGCTGGGTGTCTCGCCGGGCCCCTCCTCCCCCACGGGCACCAGGAAGATGCGGTGACGCAGAAAGGTCATGTGGTTGGCTGGCATGTCCTGGAAGTCGTACGTCACCAGGAACATCTTCACCACAGTTTTGTTAGGGTTAAATAAGGTCTGGAAATGGGGAGAGAGCAGGTCAGCTGTGGGGAGGGGGCAAGGCTGGGGTGCAGCGGGGCTGCCAGGACGTAACCAGGCCCCGCACAGAGGAGGGCCCATGGGGATGTAGGACAAGCACAGGGTGTGACCAAGTGGGAATTTTTCATAATATTTTGTATGAATACAGTGTGTGCCTCAGTTTCCCCTATGTTGTGCCTGGGTAACTAGGTGAGGGGAAAAGTTGTTTACTCTTTGCAGCGATCCAGGTGTGATTGATGCCCGGCTGTGTGGGGCCTGAGCCCCACGCCCATGGAGAGTCCCAGAAGACAATGGCCTCTCCAGCTGCCCAGACGTTTGGCACCAAGCAACTAATGACCATGAATGGCCGACCCTCGGCAGGAAGCCAGCGGGGTCTGACCAGCTGGAGAACAAAGGGCTAAGGAGGAGGCCAGGTGACAACGGCTGCCAAGAACAAGGAGAAAGGACGCAGGAGGGGCCAGGTGGGGTTGTTAAGTGTGTGCTGTTGGAAGTGGTGGGAGACGCTCCTGCACTGGGACTAAGGGGGGTCAGAGGGCTCTGGGACTGACCCAGCTGAACGTTGCTGTAACTTTCCGTTCTCGGTGTTAACTAAGGACTTTCTACTCTGTGTCCCAGACAGCTAATACCCCTCCTGCTGTTACCCCACTGGCTGGGAGTCACTGCAGAGCCAGGAGGTCGGGGGGGCGCTGCTCCTTTTGCGGGTGCACGTCTCCCTCCGGTGTCCAGCTCAGGTGGACGTGCAGCCCGGAGCTCACGGCGTGAAGCAGGGGGGCTGGAGGCTCCGAGGGTCGGTCCCAGGAGGCCGTGAGGCTACGGGGCTGACCCCAGTGAGACTGTGACCCTAAGGGGGCTGACCCACCGAAGGGATCCTCCCAGGGACAGTTCCAGAGCCGTGCGAGAGCACCGGGCCTGTGGATCCAGGACACAGGAATGGGGAGGGACTTGTTGCCAGAGGAGCTCTCCCAGCACCCACCCAGCCTGGGGCGGATGTCCGGGTACCAGCGATGCCAGGGGTGAGGCTCGACATTGGGGTCCCTCATCCCCCAAATCCATGTTGCAGGCACTGCCGTCCTGCCCAGCAACTCCTCACCCCTTCCCTGGCCTCGATCCCCAGCTCCCGCTGCAGCCCCTACCCAAGCAATGGGCGAGACGTCGGCCGTCACCCTCATGACCCCTCTGGCCTCCAGCGACACCCTGCCCTGCTCAGCCCTGCCTGCACTGAGAGCTCCCGAGCAGTATCCTCCGGCCACTTGAGCTCTCCAGGCCTGTAAGGGAGTGGGGTCTCCTAGTGGTCTGAGCAGGACTCCTGGGGTCCGATCCCCGCTCTGACACTGCAAGGCCCTGGACCCGAACCCTAGCCCTTCTGTGCTTCACTTTCCCCATCTCTGAAGCCTCTACTCAAGTTCCTATAGAGATGCCCATCACTGTGGCATCTGAGCACTGCTCCCTGTTCTGCTCCCTGCCAGAGCTCCTTATAACTGCCCTCCTTGCATCTCTGCTCTCCCCTTCTCCTTCCCCTGCCAGCTCTCCATGGATCTTGCACCGCCCCCATGCCTGGAACATGACCGCGGTTCCTCCGGCTCCCAGAGGCTGTTCCGGACCCCTCTCTCTGGATGCTCCAGGCCCAGCTCATTCCGTGCAGCCAGACACCACCAAGCACTGCCCGGGCCACGGCAACCGCCCCCCCACCCCTCGCCGTTGTGCCGCGGAGAACAGGAGCCGACTCACCACTTGGATGGTTCCAGCTTTGGGGACGCTGTACCCCTTCTTTCCCAAGGCTTCCAAGTCTATCACTCCCTGGGACAAGGCCAAGAGAAAGCACATGAGCCATTTTGCAGCAGCATGGGACAGCCCGGCCCCGACACAGGGCCCGGGAGTAGTCTGGGACAAGGCCGCCAGAGGCCCACCTGCCCCCTGGAAGAGACCCTCCCCCCCAGCCCATCGAGGTGCAGGGGCTAGACGCAGCCACACCCAGCACCCAGGGCTGCCTGCCCAAGAGACACAGCAGAGAGGTGAAGGCGAGATCATCCAGTCTGATCGGCTGCATGTCACAGGCCACCACCGCCCACGAAACCCAACAACCGAACTGGAGCAGAGTGTCACGGCCCATGGGAGTCAGGACGTGTGCGCCACAGGCAGAGAACAGGAAGGCCCGACACCCGCCGGGAATTGATGCAGGATTCTGGCCACAGGTGAGGAGGAGCTGGCAGAGGGTCTCCCCTCCATTAGTGCCCTGTAAGGTGGGGCGTTTCCCCCCCGACAGGTTGGGGGTTCGGAGTTCACGGGTGCCGGACTCGCTGCTCTGCACCTAGTGCCAGCACCTGGGTGGGGAAATCCAGCCCACAGGCGACTTGTGGCCCATTGGCTTCTATACTGCTACTCACAGCTGACAATACAGAGGGGCAACCCAGGGCAGCTCCAGGTCCTGGCATGTCCTGCCAGCCAAGAATACGACGTGACCGGCCAGTCACCTTCCAGCCCTCCATTTCTAGGCCTCTAATCACGGCACAGGCAGCCCCCACCCCACCATGCCAACCCCCTCCCCCAGAGCGGTAACAAAGCCAAGCTGAGGAGTGGATCCCGAAGTCATGGGCTCGTCTCCCCCACCGGCAGCCCCTGGCACGTGCAGTCTCTCTCAGCCTGCTCCATTTTGCACTGCCCCTGCTCTGCCTGAGCAGCCCCACGCCCCCAGCCCCCACCCAGCAGTGTACCAGGAAAGGCGAGGGTGCGCGGTGTTCCGAGATGTCGAAATAGGTCACGTCGACGGGTAAGGTGGCGTGTTGGGGGCAGTAGGAGCCGCTGGCCCCAATCTCCGCGGTGAACCCTTCAATCCTGCCCGACGGGGCGAAGCGCCCCTTCAGGATGGACTCCTGGGGAGAAGAGAGGAGGGAAGGGCGCAGCCCTCACGTGCCAATTCTGCTGCTAACCCGGAGCCTGGCCTCTCTGCGCTCCAGTCCCAAGCCAGCAGGGTCCTGCCAGGACTGTGCCCTGCAGCCCAGCCCTATGGGTACACTCACGGTGGTATCCCAGCGACCTGACCACCTCCATCGGGGATCTTACGGTAGTGCCCGTCCGCACAGGCTCCGAGCACGCCCGTGGGCATTAAAGACCCAGGGCACTCTGCGCAAGTCAGGTCCTGGGAGAATCTACACGACTCCTCCTGCATCCCTCTTCAGTTTCAGCTCGATGCAGGATGCTTTCGTGTCCTGGCCCAGACTGGGGGGTAGGGTTGCTGTGCGCTGTTAAACAGCTGCTGCACTTCGCCCCAGAGGTGGTGGCACTGCAGCAGTGGGAGTGGCCCGTGCACTGCAGGGTGTTGTGGACGTGTGTCCATAAAGCACCTCCGGGAGGAGAGACCACAGAAGGCCACAGAGTCAATGTGGACTTTAATCCCCCAGCGTCCCAGACCCAGCTGGGGGCAGTAAACCCAGCAGGCCAACTAGGACAGAGCTCTCAGCGAGAAACGGGAACTAGACTTCCCCATCCTTGGGCTGCTGGCTCTCAAGGGCAGCTGGAGCCTGGAGGCTTCTTTAGCCACAAGAGGTGAAGTTTTCAATGTTGTACCCCCCACTCCAGCCACCTGGCCTAAGCCTGTCCCATACACCTCCCTCCCCCGAGGGCCCACGAGGCTGCCAGCGAGGGAGCCAGTCAGTGCCCAGGGGGCTGCTGTTTCTGATGTGGGCACCTGCCCCCGGAGCCGGGCTGAGGCCAGCCTGTCTGATGGGCCGTGCCCTGCGCCAGGAGCAGGGGAAGAGAGGGCGAGTGCCAGGCCGGGGAAGTGCTGGGGCAGACTGCGGCTGGAAGGTCAGCTCTGCAGCAGCCTCTCCCCTCATCCGACCTGGGAAGGGCAGAGACCTGGGGGACGGGGCAGCCCAGCCTGGGATCTCATAGGGCCAGGAGCGCCCTCACACACACTGCCTGCTGGGCCGAGCTGTCCCTCAGGGGCACGCTCTGAAGCACAGACCACGGGGACACGCTCAAGACCACGACAGCACCATGGGGAGGGAGAGGAACACGCAGTTCCCACCCTAGGAGCCACACAAAGGCAGCCAATGCCAGAGCAGGCCCTAGGGGGGCTCAGTCCCCTCCCATCCCAGAGGGCCTTTCTCCCCCGTCCCGGGCCCTGGGCCTCCAGGCTGTGGTTACCTCAAAGTTCCCCAGCAGAGCATGGCTGATGGAGGTGGTGGCCCAGGAAGCTGCAGAGGGCCGGGTGCCCACAGGCCCCTTCCGGAGACTGCTGCGGAGATGTCTCCTTCAAAGAGAAGGCAGCATCAGTGCTGGTCTCGGGCAGCCTCGGGCTCCCACTCCCGTTGTCCCCAGAGGGTCACCTGCCCCTGTCACTGGACCCCCAGAGCGCACAGCTCCCCACAAGAGGCAGGCAGGATCCACCCACCGGCTACCGAAGGGTCCAAGGGACTCCAGGTGGGAGGGGGGCTGGGGAGGGTCTGTGCGGATGCACCCTGTCCCAAACAGAGGGTCTGGGCATGGGAGGGCAATCGCCCCAGGAACCAACCCCTGCGCCAGGGAAGAGAGGGGCAGCCCCCTTGCCCACCGTGCCCGGGACCCCCGCGGCTTTGCCCTGACCCCGGCAGGGGCACGAGGCAGCTCAGGACACTCACGATTTCAGGCGCAGCCCACGCTTTAGCCGTCGCCCCACCGCAGTGCCACCTGCTGAGCTCTAGGGAGACAAGAGGCCGAAGAGCTGTATTAGGGGCAGCAAATGGGCCAACTCCAGAGCACCCCCCAGCCCTCTCCCAGTCCAGGGCCCGCACCCACCAGCTCTTCCCATCACCCACATCAGCACCTGCCTGTCCCAGCTGGCCCCGAGAACACCCTCTCCTCCCTCAAGCAGCTCTACCGACAGGACACCGGACTGTCACTCATGTCCTGTGCGCACCATAAAGCAGCCGCCATGTTCCACTCAGAGGTGGCTGCATGGTGGTGTCTGCTGGGGACAGATGAGAGAGACGGGGGGAGAATGGCCAGGGGCTAGCACTGGGCCTGCCTTGGCCCTGAGTGACCATCCCTGACTGCCCATTAGAGCTACAAGCTCCCCCATCCCCTCAGAGTCCCCACACCAAACTGCAATCTCCCACGCCCCCCCATACACACAGGGACCAGGTCAATGCAGCAGGGCTCCCAGAGCAACAGAGACGTCGGGGACCCCCCTCTCCAGGCCCACCCCTCAGGCCCTGCACTCTATTCTCCAGGGCTGGGTCCAACCCTGGTTCTCCCAGTGGCATGAGAGACACCTCATTCCCCCTCTTCGCTTCACCCCGTTACTCCAGGAGTCCCCTCCTGGGCATTACCACAGCCCATGGCTACGGCTACCTCAGCCACCAGCAGAGGCCACGGCTCCTGCCAGCCAGACCGTGGAGCCACTGGAAATCTCCAGCTAGGGCCAGAGGGGGAGATTTAACCCTTGCCTCTCTTTGGGTGGACGGTGGGCTTACCCCACCGATCCCAAGGGGCTTTCCGTGAACTCTGCTGCTCCCAGGAGCCTGTGTCAGGCACCAAGGACAGCCGAGGCCCCGGCAGGGCATGTCCCAGGTGCAGGCCCAGCCGAGGGTGTCTGACAGTTCCCCTCCTGCCTCCCCGGGCACACATGCACACATACACACGGGGATCTGTCCGTGTCCCAGCCCCACCGGCTGCAGGCGTACCGGCAACGTATTAACAGGCCCAGCGCCCCGCGAGCCGGCACAGCTCTGACAGGTACTTCCCACAAGCTGGCCAGAGCCCTGGACCACACATTTGCAGGGCAAGCAAAGGCACTAGGACATCGTCAGCATGCAGCTGGACTCGGAACGCCCCCCCATGCCCTCCATTCACCTACACACACAGAGAACACATCCCCAGGGCCGACGCTGCAGGCAGGCCTGGAATGACACTTACCAGGCGGGGCTCTGGCATCTCTGGGTCACTAGCCAGTAGTCCCAGGTGATTCATGCCAGGTCCCCAGTAATGCCCAGCAGACACAGCTGCGTGACCCACCTTCCCCACAGCCAGCAGCCCCTGGGCCGAGCCCTGAGAGGTTGCGGGCAGCCAAACCTGGGCTGAGCTACCAGCTGGGAGTGGCCGACCCCCTTTATAAAGGGCACTCGCCTTTCTAGGCATTTTACCTTCTGGAAGAGACACAAAAGGGCAGCACAAAACAGAGCCACGAGCCAGCCAGCCCCCAGCCTGTGTGAAAGGGGGGTGAAGGTTCCAGGGTGCTGGACAATCGGCGGCTGCCTGGAATGGGGTGGAGAGCAGGGCTGGAGGGGAGCACTCCGAGAGCGGGGGGCTGGGGGGCTGGGAAACGGCTCCAATAAGGAACAGCCAGGGAGTCGGGAACGTCGCTGGGCTGATGGGGACGGGCGCGAGGCTGTTCACACCTCAGAGTGCCCAAGGATTGCAATCGACACGGGCAGCAGCAGGGCAGAACGAAGGGGAGATGTGGTTAGCTGGCCTCGTGCTCCTGACAAGCACCAGGGTGCGTGTGCCCAGCACATATGTTAGTGTATGTGTCAGGCGTGTTTGCATGCGTGCCAGCTGGGGGCAGAGAACACATCAGTCCTCGCACCAGCACATCTATGCCCCGGCCTCAGGAGTCACTGCCAGCGGCAGGCCTGCCAGAGATGGGGGCGCCTGTCCACTCAGCGCCACCTGACAGGGAGACGCTAGTGAGCTGGATGGAGAGGAGACGACAGGCTGGGCCACCCTGAGCATAGGAGGGAGCAGCTGGACTGGCAGGGAGCAAATCTGGGACGGGAAGCACGGCCGAGGACTCAGGCTGTCCCCTGGCAAGGGGTCTCCGGGCCCCCTTCCCACACTCCGGGCACAGCATGGTCACACCCCCCAGGGCACCTGAGCCTCTGCCTGGCACCGCACAGACGGCGGGAGAGGCAGTCCTGGCCTGGGGAAGGGGGGCCTCTCTCTGCACTCCTGCCCTGGGGCAGCCAACCCCCACAACAGGCACCTGCAGGGGCAACAGTGCCCAGCCCACAGCGCAGAGGCCCACCAGGCACTGGGGTGCCAGGACAGGACACACCTCACAGTCCAGCCCCTTCCCCAGCTCCCTACTGACCCGACACCGCCCTTCCACAGCGTCCTACCAATGGCCCCCACCCCATCAGCGAGCCCCTCACTGGCTTCCCATTCGCTCACCCCTTCCCCAGCTCCTCTAAGGCCCACCATTCCCGCCCCAGCCCTGCAGGAGGCGCTCACCTTGGCTCCTGGAAGCAGGTGGTTCCAGAAGGGGGCGCCCTTGGCGTCGGTGCTGCGGCAGGCAGTCAGGATGGGGTGGCACAGCGGGACCCTCTTCTTCCTCGCCGGCACCACGCTCTCGTCTTCCGAACACGAGTCCGCCACACCTTCGCCCGAGGGCAGCAGCTTCCTCTTAGCCGCGCAGCTGCCCCCGCCGGCCCCGGGGAGCCTGCTGCCCACAGAGGGCGTTTTCTCCAAGGAGCCCAGGCCGTTGCTCCCGGGGTCCGGGGCCACCCGTGGGGTGCTGGGCTCCTTGTGCCCAGTCAGCGGCTCCCCTTCTCTACCAGCCCCGTTGCTGTGGGCGGGGCTGCCCCCTGGCTGCTCCTCCCCCCTCCCACCCGAGGCTGCCCAGGATTTTTGTGCAATATTGTGCAAATCAATGTCAAGTAGATTTTGGCTGCTAGCCCTTTCCTCCCTCTGGGCCCCGTTCCCCTCCACAGGCTGCTCCCTGGCTCCAGCCAGCCAGGGGAACTCCCTGCCCCCCACTGAGCCACAGGCTCTGGGGCTCCCCAGGGGGCCATCCCCAAGCTGGGCAGGGCGACTGTCTCTCATGTGCAAAGTGCTGCAAGCTGTGTGCTGTGGCCAGGAGGAGGCAGCCTCCCGCAATCTGTCCTCTCTGCAGGCCCTGGGGCTGCCCTCCCAGGCCCCTGCCCGGCCAGGGCTGCCTTCACATCGGTGCTCCACCACTCGTAGGCCGCTGTGGGAGAAGTGCTGGGCCGAGCCGCAAAGGGACAGCTCCTCCACCAGCAGCCCGTCCTCCAAGGCGTCATCATCTGGGGAGTCCTGGCCAGGGGGCAGCTCCCCAGGGACCCCGTCCTGCCTGGCCTCAGCCCCCGTACCCCCCCAGTGGGCTCGCTTGGGATCCCGCCCAGCCTCCGGAGCCCACTGCTCTGGGTACCCTCTCTTGATGGCCTGCCGCCCACCCCCGGCTCTCTGGTCTGCCGGCTCGGAGGAGCTGGAGAGGTGGGAGAAGATGGAGACCTGGTAAACCTTCTGGCGCTTGATCTCTGTCTTGTTGTAGCCCATCACGATGCTGCGGCGGGGGCAGCGCTCTGGGGCGGGCTCCAAGGCCGCCTGGCCGCCTGGCCGGGACAGGCCCGAGTCCGTGCCATGCTCCTGGGGGAGGGACGTCTCAGCATGGATGTGCCGCATGGAGCCTTAGCGGGCTGGACCCCAACCAGAGCCAAAGACGAAACAGCCCATAAAGCGGCAGGGAAGGGGGTACGGTGTCACGAGGTCACGGGGCTGAAGAAAGGGGGTGGTGTGTCAGACCCCTTCCCTCTGGACAAGCCCCCCGCTACGGAGTGCACTGCAGCGCCGCATCTGTGGGGAGCAGAGGGGAGGGGATCAGCCTCTGGGACCTGGCCCAGCCACCCCTCCCTGGCGCTTCAGGCTCCGCTCCTGCCCCAGGCGGCCCAGCAGGGTGGTGCAGAGGCCCACAGACTGCCCTAGCCCAGGTCTCCCCCACCCAGGGCCAGGCCCGCAGGAGGAGCAGCGCGGGCCAGCTCTCCAGAAGGCCTGGAGGTGGGGGAGGGTTACCAAGCCCCAGAGGAGAGGAGGCTGCTGAGGCCTACAGGAGTCTATGCCGCCCCACAGGGACCGTGCTGGGACTCAGAGAAGTCCCTGGCTGGGCCAGTCAGCGCTGGAACGCATGGGGGACCAGGCCAGACACACACCCGGTCGTGCCTCAGCGAACACAGGAACCGGGCAGGCCTCAAGGGAGCAAGCCAATGCTCAGTACCCCTTTGCTTTAGAAGCCAGTGCAGGCTGCCAAGCCGTCATCTCCCCGATCACTTGCTCAGGCCGCGGCTGGGCACTCACCACCCACCCCTCGCCGAGCAGCTCTCCTGCCCCAGCAGCAGACGGTCGTTGGCACAGCTAGCTGGAGACACCTGCCATCCGGGCACCCCCCAGAAGCGGCGCGGCTGCCGAGGAATGGCTCCCACCATCACGGGCGTCGGGCTCTGCCTCCAAATCACCGCAGGGGCCTGGCTGGCTCTCGGGCCTGTTCAGCAGCAGCACTAACGGGGGAAGGAGAGGGAGGGTTAACGCTGGCAGAGGGAGCAGGGGGTGGAACGCTTGGACAGACGGGCACCTGGGGAGGACACAAGGGCAGGCGACACAACCAGGCTGGCCCATGTGCAGCCCACAGCCCCCTCGCCTATAACAGAGGCCTGGGCACGGAGCCTAGAGCTACCCTTCCACTGGGATTCGTAGGCACTGGTGGGGACAGGAAGCTCCCTCTTCCTAGACCTGGGGGCTGGAGGAGGAGAGGAGAGGAGAGGAGAGGAGAGGCGAGGCCAGGCCACGGGGAGTGGGGGAAGCAGCAGGGCCGGGGGCATTAGAAGATTCACTGGGTGGGTGGAGACCTGCCATTACAGGACCCGTGGCTGACATGCCCGGCTGCCTGGGACACAGCCCCAAGGGGCACCTGCTGGCCCATCGGACCTGGCATTCCCCGTAATAAAAGGCCCCATCGTCTGATGCAAAGCAAGAAGCCTGTCCATGCTGGGGGCAAGTCAGGATGGATCCTTACCAGCTTCGGCCGGCGCACAGACCGCGGGCCTTGTGCTCAGCCAGCGCTCACCTGCTCCAAGGCACCCTCCATGGGCTAGGCAGGACTGCAGGGCAGCAGCAGGCGGACCCCGCGCAGCATCGCTCCAGCCACTGCAGCAACGGCTGCAGGCTCACAATCCCACCAGCACGTCAGACATGGCACCTGGGTGGAGAGACAGAGACTCAGCCCCAGAGCACCCCACACAGCCTGGCTACACTACACACTCTACCCTCCACACACACCCCTCCCTGCACAGCTCATCCCCTCCCTAAAGGAGGCAGCCCACCAGGGGCAGCTCGGAGGCAGCAAGTCCCTTAGTGTGTCCTATTCCACTGAGCAAATTCAAATTGCTTCCCCCTGTGAGTTCGGTGCCACTGGAAGGGGTGGACAGAGTACCCAGGACAGAGGACGGAGCAGACCACAGCAGGACAGCCACGCCAGCCACGCGTCAGGACTGGCAGGAACGACCCCCTGGGCAAAGAGAAGCGAGTGCCAGCGCTGGCCCATTCAGTGGCTGGCCTCGCTCCTGCGGAGGCTCCCAGCAAGGGGGCCAGTGGAGGTGACTGTCTGGGGGCTGCGGAGATCAGTCCCGCTGGGCGTAGGTAAATACATCTGTGTGTTACACCCAAGTGCTGGGACCGCTGGGCCTCCCAAAGGCAGTGACCAACCTGATTCAAACCCGGCGAGCTGCGAAATGGAAGCCAATCTCCCAACCTGGGGCTGGATTAGAGCCGGTGGCGCCTAGAGGGGAAATGCCCCGTGTCCCATTCCATACCCGAGCCAGCCAGTCCCCACCCCACCGGATTGGAACCAGTACCCTAGAGACACAGAGTACACAGCCCTTCCCGACACATGGGATCAGAGTGGAAACAAGATGGTGAGAAAGCCCCAGATCCTAGTGGCCTACAGGCAATGCCCACAGTAAGACGTCATAGGAAAGATACAAGGACGTTTCCAAAAGTATCCTTGCCCCGGGCACATCCCAGCTCCTTGGCTCCGTCACTGGGATTGGAAGTTCTCAGGAACGGGGCCTGGTGTTACGCTCTCACATTCGGCACCCAGCACAGCGCAGGAGCTGGACAAGCAGCCAGCCAGCCCTTCCCCACTTTTCTAATGGTGCCTGAAATGAACCCGGCCTTTCCGCTCCCTCCCCTGGTTGTGCACCAGCACCAGAAACACCGTCAGCGCTGCGGGGGCAAGAGCTGAAGGGAATTCAACTACTGCCACGGCTCAGCTTGGCCTGCTGGCTTCCCGGCCTCCCGAACCTAGGAAGCAGAGGGGAAGATACACAGAGGTGCTTTTTAGACTCGCGAGGACAGAGCCACGCTGCAGCAGGCCGACCGAGGATCTAAAGCGCAGTAGGGCGATGGCCAGAGGGAAATCCCAGCCCCTTTCCAATCCCCCACGCAGAGCGCGACGGAGTTAGCAGAGAGGCGAGAGGTGTGCAGGCCCTGTCCACACCTCCAGGCTACGCTCATCCCCCACCTGGCTGAGGATGGAGAACTGGGATGTGTGCTGCAGGGGTGGGATTCTGCCCAGGGTGCCAGGGCTTGGATTGGAGGAATATCCAGGCCCTCCGGGAAGTAGCATTAGTGACTCAGCAGGGTCAATCGTCCCGCCAAGGCAGTGCGGTGCTAGGGGCACTACGCAGCTGGGGGTGCTGCCGTTCACAGGACTTAAAACCCAGGTGTTGATGATGTGCGTCCGTTCTGACGTAGCCAGCAGAGGGGAGAACAGTCAGGTCAGGCTTGGGCAATTACACTCTACATCCCAATTTCCCCCCTGCACTTACAGCTCTTCACATCGCCCCCCCCCCAAGCTCTCGTGCAGCATTGCTGCGAGCTGTTCGAATCTGCATGTCCTACCCCAGAAGCAGCTGCATTTTAGGTGTGTCACACCATGGAGATAGCATAATAGACAACAGTCCTAGGGCAGACCCGGCTCAGATGTCCAGCTTCCCGTAGCGCACCCCGGTCACCAGATGCAATGCAACGTGGGACCCAGTCAACACACCCACGCCCGTCGCTTCTCCGCCGGCTGCAGGCTAAAGGATGGGGCCGGGCCGGGCCAGCATGTCTGCGTGAGCTTGGGGCAGGAAGGAACGTTACTAACCAGACAGCAGCAGGGACCAGCTCAGCCTGCAAGCAGCAGCAGCTCCTGAAGCCAGAAGCCCCTAGTCTGGTTTTTTACAACCAAGCCCGGCGAGCAGCACCAGCTCTGAGCGCTGCTCAGGGACCTCGGGCTGCCTGCTGGCCCCTGTCCCTTCCTGGCCAGGAGAGACCGGCTGCAGCACTGACCACATTCTTCCTGCAGGGGCTGGCCTCTGATGGCTGCACCGACCTCTCTACCTACACCTACTAGTGGCTGATCAGGGACCCCCCTCGCCACCCCCACTCTGCCCATCACTGCCGTCCTCGGGGATCTCACAGGGCTGTGCCACTGCTGAGGCTCCCCCTCCTTTCAGGCACACCGTGAAATCACCTCAGTCCCATTCCCTCCGAGGGGACGACAGGCAAGCCGCACGGCAGGTCAGACCTAGGCTCAGCACGAACCAGGTACCTCCGTGGGCAGGAATCAAGCCCTGGAGGCTGCATGCAGGGTGGGCCGAGGAGCTGGGCAAGGCCAGCTGTGGGTCAGTGCGGCTCCGTCCCGGAGGGTCTGGCACTGCTCCTCCCCACACCAGAGACCCAGCCAGCTTGCAGTGGCACTTGGCTGTTTACGGCACCCAGCCCCTCCCTGCTACAGCCTGTAACCCTTATATAGAGCGAGCGGCGCACAGCACGGGGCACCAGGAACTCCCACGCTCCGCAGCACTGACAGACAGACAGGGACAGGGAGCCGGCACCCTCCCCTCCCCCAGAGGCAGGCCTCCTGCAGCCCTGCCTGCAGGGAGCTACGGGGAGCCCCCCAGCCGGTAGCTCACTTCCCACCTCCAGCCCCGCTGCAGCACGCCTGGGCTGGGGTTAACCACCCTTCCCCCACGAGCCCAGGCAGGCGGTGCGATTTCACGGGAATTTAGCCCAAGCTGTTGCTAAGGCCGGGGCTGGGTCACACACACTCCTCCCCCTGCCAGCTCCCAGCCCCGGCTCCCTCCTACAGGGCTGGGGGCACGCTGGGGGCACCTGGATGGATGCAGGGCCCCAGCCTGGCCTGCTGGAAGTACCCAGCCAGACAGGGTGTTTACATGGGCCACGAATGGAGCCAGGAGCTCCCAGCTCTGCCCCAACCCCCCACCCTCCAAGGCCCCAGAGCAGACCCCTCAGGGCTTCGGTCTGACCATGCCTGGTGCACCCGAGTCCGGACCTCGCCATGAGGGAATGGGCAGCAGCCTGTGCTCCCTCGCTGGCAGAGCACCGCTCACCTTCCTCCCACCCCCCAGGTCTCTCAGACTGCGGATCCAGGAATAGGCAGCGTTTGGCTGTCCTCTCCCAGCCCTTCCCCTGCCCTGGGTCTGGAGAAAACGCCATCTTCCACCCAAAGGCCTGTGCTGGAGGAGTCTGTACGGGGCCAGGGGAGGGGAGTTCTGCTCTCCAGCCGAAGGGCCCCAGGCACATCCCGAGGGTGCATTATGGGTGGATGGACACTCACACAGCTGGGGGGTGGGGGGGGCTGGACTACACCACAGCCAGGGCCAATGGTCTGGCGGGGGCTGGGGGAGCTAGCCGGATCCCTGGTCTGACCTATTTATTGGGATAAGGAAGACCAGGGCCCATTGGTCTGCTTCAGGGGAGCAGGAGTAGTGCGATGAACCAGTGCCCTGCCCAAGGAAGGCAGGATTACCAGATGAAAGGGGCTGGTGCTCTGATCCGGTGAGGACAGAGGCAAGAACTGGAGCGGAGATGACTGGAGAGGGAGCGTCCTTAGCTGGCTGTAGGGCAGATGTGGCAGCTACTGCAATATTCAGGAGCTTCCGGCCTGGATATGAAATGGCCAGAGCCCATGGACGAAGCAGCCGTCCCTGCATGGGAAGGGGGATGGAAACCTCACCACTGCCTGGAGCAGGTGGGAGGGAGTGGCAGAGGCGAGCACTGCACAGCACCAGGCCTTTCCGGCCTGCCGATCACTTTCTGTCCCGCTCCCAAGCGAGAGGAAGGCGTGTGGAGTCCAACTAACCAACCGGAGCAAGGAAGTGTCCACAGACCTCCCCCCCTTGCAATGCCTCCCAATGGGGGTCACCAGACAGTTGTGCCAGGAGAGAGCACCCAAGGGGAGCTCTCCAGCAGCTCCTCCCAGCCAGCAGCACGGCTGGGCTAAGCACACCTTAGCTATGGCCCATGACACTGGAAGCAGCTGTGCATCTCCACCTGATGTTTCTGCCTCTCCCTGGCTGGCGGGCCGGGGAGATCTGCAATAGGCCAAGGCCTGGAAGCCACGGTGATGGGCACTCAAAATGCATAAGGAGGACAGCAGCACACCAACCCTACTGACGACAGTCCTGGAGCAGAGGGGCACCCAAGCGAGACAGTCGCACTCTGGGGCAGGAAGGATGTTGACTGCGGTGCCCAGAGGAGCGAGACAGAGTTACCAGGGTTACACCCAAACGTCTCTCCCTCGTCACCACAGCAACACCAGACGGTTGTCAGGAGACACGCATAGAGTGGAGCAAGAGTTTATCTGCTCAGAAATGCAGTTTTGGGTCAATCAAAACTGCTCCTCGGCTCAGGGACCAGAGCCCGAGTGTCTCCCCCCCACGAGTGCCTGAACCCCCAGCCGGTTGAGACACTCGCACGCTTGCTCTGCCCACTCAATGCGTTTGTATTTATTTGATGGGGAACAGTTCCACAGGAGAGAGACAGAGCCCCAGCCCGAGTACCCCGTAGCCCAGTGATTAGTGCACTCAGCTGTAATGCAGGAGACCCACCGTCAAGTCTCTGCTTCCAATCAAGCAGACTGGGGTCTTGAACGCAGGTCTCTCGCCTCCCAGCTGAGCACGCTCCCCATGGGGCTCTGGGCAGGGCTCTGGTTTGGGGGCTTGACTTCTTTGATTGGTCAGGGTTCACTTTTAGCAATTGCCGAGTTCTATGTAATGTCCAAAACATCGGGGGGGGGGGGGGCTCTCTCTTTGTACACACCTGTGATGGGGTGTCCACCGCCCACAAGCCCTGAGCAGGGCAATGTGGGACAGCAGGGCAACCAGCGCCTAGGGGCAGAGGAGGAGCTGGGATTGGAGTCTAAAGCGAGGAAGTGAGAGCAGGGAGAAGATGGGGGGATGAGCTCTGCAGTCACTCCCTAGCGGCAAGGGGCAGATCCAGGGGGAGTGTAAGCCCTGGAGAAGAGGTTGAAGGGGTGAAGTAGCCATGGAGAGCAGAGGAAGCTCTGGTGGTAAACCCAGAGACAGGCCAGGAGCTAGAGAGGGCGGCAGGAAGGAACCCAGGGAAACAGCAAGGGAGACACCTGGTCACAGGCTCCCTGGGCTGGACCCAGAGTAGCCAGCAGGTCTGGGTTCCTCTACCAGCCACTGGCAAAGTGGCTCAGGCCTGGAGCTGAGATGGCAGACGGACAGCTTGTCTGGTGGGATTTTGTTATGCACAGGGGTGGGGAGGGGGGGGAAATACTAGACTGTGACCTGGCTGACTCACGGAAAGAGAGGGGGACCACAGAGCGAGCAACCGGCGGAAGGGGCCCCAGATGGGGTGACAGCTAGTTCCCAGACCCAGCCACAAGGAGGCGCACCTTCAGTGAGTGCAACCGGTTCACAAAAGCGCACTGAGTAACGCTCCCTAGTGCCCTTCTACATCATACTTGTTCAAAGGGTGCTTCATTAACCCGTACTAGTGAACCTTCAGCCCGCACCAGCAGCCTCTAGGTGCACCAGTTCATGCACAACGGTGCTTTAGAAATCCCACCCATGCAGTCTGTATTACTGCTCTGGGTAGGCAGATACACGGCACCGTTTCTAATGTGTATTGGACAAGCACCGATTGACTGATTTCTGGGTACCGGCGTGTTATCAGTGTGTATTGGCTAAAACCTAAAATCAGAAGGGGGCAGTCACCTCCTCCTTCTCTGCTGGGTTTGTCATGTTTACAAATGTCCTGTTTTTAATAAAAAAGCAGTTAAGATGCCCCAATCCAAGCTGGAACGTTTCTTTACACCTCACATGAAAGTGTCACCAGGAAGATCTAAATCTTTTCATTTCGGGTTGATCCCAAAGGAGTTTTTTGGCTGGGCCAGTTACTAGCAGGGCACAGCTAGACAGTAGTGACAGGGCCAAATGCAGAGGCACTGGGGTGGGAGGCTGGGGATGGCCTACCACCCAGGCAGAGAGCCAGGGCCCATTACTAGGGAATCATAGAATATCAGGGTTGGAAGAGACCTCAGGAGGTCATCTAGTCAAAGCAGGACCAATCCCCAACTAAATCCCCAAACGGCCCCCTCAAGGATTGAACTCACAACCCTGGGTTTAGCAGGCCAATCCTCAAACCGCTGAGCTATTCCTCCCCCCCGCATTCTGCAGAGAAAGGGGGTGCTGGTGCTGAGAGCAGGGACTTTGGGATAAGCACGGCACTGGGGGATGGATTTGGGTAGACTAGCTGAACTGAACGGGGGGAAGGTGCATTATAGATGGCACCAGCGCACCCCGGCCAGAGCCAGACACCTGGGTTCAGGCATGGCTGACCACAGCGGAATCTGGGCAGTCAGTGCTTGTAACGCTTGGGATCCCTGCTGCACGTGGCTGCGTGGACCCCACGCCCCCAAGGCGAGCCAAGCGCAGACGTGTCCTGCGCAGACAGGGCCAAAGACAGGGAATCCCTGCATACGCTGGCGACAGCTCCACTTGCCCTCCTGCCCCCGCCCAAGGACAAGGGTCTGGAAGAATGAGAAGCCCAAGGCCTTTGGTGACAGAGGCGAAGTGGGAGCCTGAGGGGAAGGGGAAAGGCGACGGCTGAGCAAGGAATCGTCCTGCTGAGTGGCAGCCTTTGGGACAGACTCAAGCGAAACACCCGGCAAGGGGTGGGGTGAGGACAAGAGGCCAGTGCAGCTCCAAGACCCTCCTGCTGGGAGCTACGGCAGCCAGGGACAGATGGGGGCTTTGCAGCTCCAAGGGCCTGGAGATCCAAGCCCAGGCTCCCGGCATCATAGAATCATAGAATATCAGGGTTGGAAGGGACCTCAAGAGGTCATCTAGTCCAACCCCCTGCTCAAAGCAGGACCAATTCCCAACTAAATCATCCCAGCCAGGGCTTTGTCAAGCCGGGCCTTAAAAACCTCCAAGGAAGGAGATTCCACCACCTCCCTAGATAACCCATGCCAGTGCTTCACCACCCTCCTAGTGAAATAGTGTTTCCTAATATCCAATCTAGACCCCCCCCCACACTGCAACTTGAGATCATTGCTCCTTGTTCTGTCATCTGCCACCACTGAGAACAGCCGAGCTCCATCCTCTTTGGAACCCCCTTCAGGTAGTTGAAAGCAGCTATCAAATCCCCCCTCATTCTTCTCTTCTGGAGACTAAACAATCCCAGTTCCCTCAGCCTCTCCTCATAAGTCATGTGCTCCAGACCCCTAATCATTTCTGTTGCCCTCCGCTGGACTCTTGCCAATTTTTCCACATCCTTCTTGTAGTG